ACTCTCGCGGCCAGCGATGCCGCTCAATCCGCCCGTGTCCGGGCGACCTGCTCTAGGCCGCAGTTTCAGCACGCCGATCTCCATCAACTCGGGGAGCCGCTGCTCAAGGAGGACCTCCGCCGGCGTGCTTCCTCTCTAGGGTCCGCCCACGACGACTCGTCATCCCCGGGACGATCAACGCTGCCCACCATCCAGAAGTCACCGGCACCACAACGCTCGCCGCCGCTGACCGCGCGGCCATCCACGTCGCTACCTGGACACACATCTCCCTCGCCGTGCATCGACGAGGAGGGACGAATCGCCGGACGACGAGCCAGGCGCCCAACCGGTCGCTGCAAGCAACGACTCCTGAACCTGTTCGGGTCGGCTTCCTCCTCCGAGGACAGCCTGCCCGGGCCACCGACTCCGCCCGCAGGGGACGCATCGAAGCCCTCGACTTCCTCGAGCGCAACAGCACCCGAGCGACCATCGACTCCTGGCCGCTCTCGGGAACTCGGCACGCAACAAGATAGGCCGTGGCAACTCTGCGCCATCGAGCTCGGCCACGTGCAGCATCGGCCGCCGCGCCGCGACACTCGCCGCTTCTACACCGAAGCCGCCACGCAGATCGCGGGACTGCCACCGGCTCAGGTCAAGCCTCCAACGCTCACCCCCCGGCCGCGCCGAGGAGAAGCTGGGGCTCGTGCGAGGCGCAGGGAGCGGCTACAGGAACCTGCGCGCGCACGCGCAGAGACAGACGCGACCGAGTCGCCCACACGTTTATCTCGCGGGACCCAAACTAAGTCCCGCCTGCCTTTGTAACATTTTCCTTTGCGTTTACAAGAATATAATGGCTTTTAATTAACTCAGCGTTCCTTGATTGTTAGCGTGCATATAACCTTCACATATCCTTCAGCTTGCGTTCCTATTATTCAACGCATAGCGATACTTGGCTGCAAACCTTCCGCTTTGCTTGGTGCTGACGCACCGTTGGTTCGCCACACAGCTGGTCGAGGACAGATACTCCCCTCGGACTGAGAATCAGCTTTCACAGACGATTGCGGGCGACGCAGTGCAGCAAGTCACACTCTCGTTCGAGACGCTCGAGACGCGGCGCACACACGCAATCGTCATCCACCAAACACAACATCCAGCTACATCAACAGCCAACAACATGCCACCACAAATAGACGACAATAAACTGGTGACCACAGAGTGCTACAATCTAAACTAAGACTCGGTTGCGCCAACATTATTTTGGCTTTAATCGAGACATAAAACTTTAAATTTATTGTACTAAAGCAAAAA